GGATGGATGGATGGATGGATGGATGGATGGATGGATGGATGGATGGAGTTTTTGGCTACTGTTATCCTACATTTAACAGCCGTTTTGATATTCTTAGCTTTCAGCTGAGGTTTTGCTAATTTTAACATTTTGCTACAATTGAGGTAATTTAAGCTTGAAGTTATCCTTTTGCTCTTTTAAGCTTTTAGTTGCTATTTTGTTAATATTAGGTTTAAGCAGCAGTTTTGCTCATTTTAGAATTTGGTTACGGTTTTGCCGTTGTTAACCTTTAGCTATTGTTTTGCAGATTGTTCTTGTTTTAATGTCATCAATTCAATAACCGGTAACAACAAAATTTAAGCAAATTTAATCAAGAGTGCTGCATTTTTCAACATCAAAATGTTTAGAACACACTTTGTAGCTAAAGATTTAGGGAGACTGTCATGAAAAATAATGCTACACATCTACACCCTGATTCCCTGTTCAAGAAACTGTAATTTGATAATAGACTGTGCAATAACAGCTGCATTCTGTCATAGATAAATGTATGGGAGCACATAATAATGTAGAGATCACATTTGTGTTTTGTACAGCAAGGTAATGTGAACGCTCTCACACTCTCCAAGACACGTTTTCTGCTGATGCAGATAAATGATTCCTGGAAAGGCCAGTATATTATGTATCATCAACATCTGTAGCCCCACTCTGCTTATTTGAAAACACCAACACCGATACTATTTTCTAAACACACATATAAAAAGGCAATAATTCATTTCCCTGGTGCCATATTGAGTTTATAAATATGTACTGTTAAAGAGCTACAGCCTTTTTGAGAATTTGTGAACAAGACAGTGAATACATTGCCTTTGTGCTCTGGTTGCTATCTGCAAAATGCACAGTAACAAAGGCAGTAAATCGTGTCTGTTCACTGGATCTTAAGTGTTCTCCAAGCTTGTGCCCTTGGCAGGTAACCCATTATCTGTACAGTATATGTCAAGTTAAAGTTGCTGGTAAATAATGTTCCACTCTGAGTGAGAAATGAACAAATATAAGTGGGAAAAAAGTAGAAAGTACAACCCAACCATACTGGCTAAGTGATGTGGCAGAAACCAACTGCTGAAGACCTCTAAAAATAGCAGAGAACAAACAGATGATGCCATGCGCTGACACACTGCATTAGTGTCTTAGCGCTTTTAAGTGTTTTTCTTTAAACCATTAAAAAGGATAGACAGATGCCCCTTGCTCATTATTTCCATGAATTCTGGTTTTCAGTTGTATCATAAGAAACGTTCTTGTGAATATGTCAGTACAAGCTATGCAATCATGTTCTTCGTGGGCAAAAACTGGTTTATTCCCAAAGACTTAAAAGAAACCATTACCTTTAGAAATACACAACAAGGGTATGAGGCTATGAGAGAAACTTTAAGCTAGTTTGGCTCTGTTCCCTCTGAAGTAGCATTTTAATCTTCTCCTTAAGTGACACCTGAAACTCTTATTCTGTCTCCATGCAGTCCTTCAGGGCTGGGCAACTTTCCCCAAGGGCATTCAGCATTAGGCTCCAAAGTCTTCAGCCAACTAATTAAAGATAGCAGAAAAGTGAAATGTGATTACAATGTGCTCTCAGCTTAATAAAAACCATAAGTACAATGTCAACAGTGAAAGAAGAGGTGAAATTCCTAATCAGGTTGATATTTAAAAAAACAAAAAACAAATGGATTTTGGGCTACAAGCCGCAGGACACATTTACAGCATGAAAACCAAGTGAACAAGAAAGAATAAAACAACTGAGCACTTCTGATGCAGCTTCTCCCTTTTCTGCATCGAACACAACATACCACACCTGCTACGAAATACAGCCTGCTAATACTGAAGGGAAAAAAGTACCATAGACAAACAATTTATTGAAATGAACAAAAAGTTAATTAGATTAATGAAAATATTAATTAAAATGTTACCCTTGAGTGTCTTTTGATCAAATTGTTCCCAACGTTGTAGTTTAGAGTTCACAACCCCCACAACACACTAAGTTTTGGGACTTGAAAGGATCTCCAGAAATCAAATAAGAAAAAAAAAAAAAAATGGTACCAGAAAGATTTTTATCAAAGTTCACGTTATTGTCATTCACATCACATGTGGTACATGAGGTGGAACAAAACTGTGTACTCAATGTCCCAGTTACACCCAAAAATAGCAAAAATATAAAGTATAAAAAAAGAAACAGTATACAAGGATCTAAGATATATGCTAAACAATAATAACGTAACACATATAATATGGTGTATTATGCATTATGATAAATGCCTAGCATTTCTTGAAATAATGCATAATACACACATCACTTTAATTTCAGAGTTTTAAACTAAGATCATCTCATGTTTTCAAATTAGGAAGTTATAGTTGTTTTGGCCAAAGCTTATAAAGTTATGCACAATTTCCCACAATCTATGTTCCAGGTACGTGTTGTGAATGACTCTCAGTGAGCTCAGTATTTCTAGAATTGACTCATTAATAGCCAGTTTTGTTTGCCAAGTCAAGTAGATGTCATGGCCATCTTGACTAGGATTGTCTCCAAAAGTTAATCAGTTGTTGTACAATGATTACTTTCTGAAAAATCCATTTATTATTTATTAACCTTTATTTAACCAGGCAAATCACACTGAGATCACAGATCTCTTTTGCAATGGAGGCCTGGGTCTAAAGGCAGCCTAACATGCATGTTTTTGATTCTGTGGGAGGGAACAGGATTACCCCAAGAAAACCCACGCAAGCACGAGAAGAACATGCAAACTCCATACAGAAAGACCCCAGGTCCAACCGGGGATTGAACCCAGGACCTTCTTGCTGTGAGGCAACAGTGCTAACCACTGAGCCATCGTGCTGCCATTAAAAACAATACACTGTTTCAAAAGATAATTTGCCAACACAAAGACAGTGTTGATTCCAATAGTAAAATCCCCTAAATGTACCAAAAAGAATATGTATTTCAGTGCTATAACTATGCTTTATTTATTTTTTTTACCTTCCATCACTTTTTACCGCACTGTTGGCAATCTAGGCAGTTTAAATTTGACCATGCAAAAATTAAACCATCCCCATTTGGCCTGGGAACGCCTTGGAGTCCTCCCAGAAGAGCTGGAAGAGGTGACTGTGGAAAGAGATGTCTGGGCCTCCCTGCTCAAGCTGCTGCCCCCACGACCCGACTTCGGAACAAGCAGAAGATAATTGATGGATGGATGAGAAATTGAAACACCAAGCAAACATAATTTTGTCAGATTAGTTAATACAATTTGGTAAATCTGAGAATAATTAGCACAAACAAGGAAGCATAAAGCAGCAGAAAGGCTAAGACACCTACAACCCCCATGGGCAATCAGTATTTATTAGGCTAATAACGGATGAACTGATTGTGACAGAAACAGCAAAATATATTGGCATTGTCCATTGGCATATTGGCAATAAAATCCGTCCAGAAACTTGGCAACAAAGTTCAAGAACACATGTTGGCGCCAAATAGTAGTGTGAAGTCCAATGTTAAACACCCCCACCCCCCACCCCCCACCCCCAGGCTATGCCAGGGACTCAGATTCAAATTTTGTCATGATAAAGGAGCTGCTGAGGGAAAACACAAGAGTGTACAAAGAGGGCGTGGGAGGATGGACAAAAGATGTGTTCTAGAAAAGACAGCAAGAGAAAGGGGGCAGAAAAGCCAAAGACACATTGAGAAACGTGACATGAAGAAAGCATCAGAACGATGTGAAAACAGATGTGCTGAGAACTGAAAATGATGGATGGACAGAGGACGTGGGAGTGAAGGAAGCGTTGGCGCGACAGGTTGTTGAAAGGACTGTCAAACTGATGGTTGTTAAGTTTGTTGCTGCTCAAAATCGAGCTCCTATCTAGTTTCTTTATGGTAAAAGTGCGTTGTCTGGTCAGTATCTTCATTACCACCTGCCGCCGACGGTAAAGGTGGTGTTTTTACTCATCTGTGTGGATGTGTTTGTTTGTCTGCACTATTAACAACATATTTCTGGAATCACAGAACACGTTTTAATGAAACGTTCAGAAGGTGATCACTGAGTTAACATCTACACCTGATCACTTTTGGAGGCAACCTATTTTAAGATGGCTGCCACAGTATACAGTATGGAATCCAACAATGTTCAGTCAGGTCATCTGGACGATTTCTTTTTTTGCTGAGACGTTTAGTCCTTCATCCAAAGGGCTTCTTCAATCTGAGGAGCTACCAAATAAAACTGATTCCCACAAACAGCATACTCCATATTTGAATAAAACAGTTTTCTGGTGCTAAGATGGCCTTCGGGGCCTGCCCTCTCCCCCATCAACTCCCCTGAGTCAGTCATGCCAAAGTGGTTCAAAACACCAAAGTTCATGCTCAATAATCCAGGTATAAAATCCAACAATGTTCAGTCAGGTCATCTGGATGGTTTCTTACACTAGTGTACAAAAAAGCAACATTTCACCTACAATGTAGATTTCCTTTAATTCCACACATTTAAAGCATGTTTCTCACAAAGTTTGTGTAAATTCAGCTGTGGGGTTTAAAGACATTTCAACTTTAATGTACTTTAGTGTCAGATCTGCA